AGTAAATTTAAAACAAACCTTTTTAGTTTGACATCTAACTCATCTTGTGAATCTTCATTTATTTAAATATTTATTCGGTTTAAATTTCAGTCTGTATAAGTGACTCACATACTGATAACCTAAAATAGAGATTTTATAAAGTTTTTTAGTCTTTTAATCATATTTTTGTTTTAAGAATTAATGTTTATCATGTTAAGAAAAATGAATCTGGCTCAGAGACTTAACTTGTTTAACAGTTTCTGGTAAAAAGTAGATAATATGATTTCCAGTCTGGCTTGAAAACACAGAATTCCCAAGAAACAAGTAAACAACAACAAGAAAACTTGACAAAAAAAGAGACAAAAACACTTAGTACCACATAACGGCTACATAAAACACAACTTCAACAAATATTAAAAAATACAAAGCAACAACTTAAAAAAAACACAAAATATCCATAAAAGAATGACACAAAACAGACGTACAAAAAGATAAAACTCTATGATTTAAAAAATGAAACACTTTAAATACACCACCAAAATGTGATATCTTTATTCTATGAAAAAAAAAAAACTGCAACCACAAAAGATAAAACAAAAAAACATCTTAAAAAATACCACCTAGTGCTTCACAGAAAATAATTCTTTAAAGAAATATGCAGAAAAACACAAAAATGTTAAAACTTTTAAGAATTAATCCAGACCGCAGTGACACAAAAACAAACACAATGTACATTAAAATGTATTTTGACCAAACTAGCCACAAAAAATAAACCACAACTACAAAAAACACAACCAACTAGGGACATTAAGTAACCACTAGAGGTACAAAATACTTATAACATAAAACAACAACAAACACAAGTAAAATAACGACAAAGAGACACTTAACAAAGAGAAATGAAACAACCTTACAGACACAAAACAACTTTTAAAACACAATAACCAAAGAGACCTTAATACACAAACACAAAGAAACACAACTCACTGTGAAGAGAAAAAACACAACTCTCAAGAGACAAAGATCTGATAAAATTAACAAATACGAAGACAAAATGATCAAAATTGCCTCAAAGGTTAGCAAACAAACACGAGGAGATCTTAAATACTGCGACTGTACGTCCTCCTGAGGCGAAAACAGGATGAGGGCTCTTTATTTTGTTTTTCTGTTCAGGGCTCAACTGTCTCATAATATTAAGAGTGGCTAACCAAATTCTGTTACTTTTGAAAATGTCGAATAAATAATTAAGAGTATCCAGTTATGTAACTCTGACTCTCTACCAAACGGTTATGTAAGGGATGCATTTCAACAGTTTCTCTCCCCGCAATTAATTGAACCAACTTCACACATGTTGTGTACTTTTCTGCTAAAGCGTGATCCAGGTCTGTGGTTGTGTTATGATGAAGACTGCAGGGAATTCAGCCTTAGAAAATCCACAAGCAGGACTTTGTGGTTTCCAGGATCTGATCACTGGGAAGGCAAATTTAACCAAAGAAAAAAAAAAAAGAAAACAGCAAGCTTCACAAAGTGCCAAAATCATCAAGCAATTTCTGGAGCGCTCCAAAATGCCAAAGGAAGTCGAATCTCCTTCCCTGGCTTGATAGTTTTCTTAAATTACCCCTAAACTTCCTTCAAGTCCCTGTTAGGCGGCATTTTTCCCCTGGTGATTTTTTTTTTTTGATTCAGTTATAAGTGCAGAAAATAGAGGAACGGCAGAACAGTAGAGAGAAGTGAGAGTTTGCTCAGGTTGTGATTAATAGGCGCATTCAGCAATGAAATGTCTGTCATTCATTCAGCATTTTCCCCTGGTGCTCAGGTTACATGGACTGAAACAGCATTTGTCCGTATTAGCGAGGGCCCAGTTTTTTACCCTTCCTGTCTGCCTGCTGGTACAGGAGACAGGCCAGCAGCACTATGGCATGACGGTCAGTGGCACCCACCCTGCATTTCAGTCGGCGCCTGCTGTCCGCGCCAAGCCTGAAAAAGGTGAGATGGCTGAGATATATTCTCTCTCGCACGGGGCCATCAAAAATAGGTAAAAGTCCACCTCAGTCTGGATCGGTATTCTTACAGAAAGCAGAAATGTGCTTTCAATCTTAGGGAGCAGCACAGCTCCATTGAGAAATGTGAATTCTGACTCAGTTGGTGACATCTAATACACTCCAACACGACTATGAATCACTTGCTTTGCTTTCGCTGCTCCCTTAAAACTTTAAGCACTAACAAGTGTGACACATTATCTGCCTTTGTAACGCAGCAGCAGAGGAAAACAGTATAAAACAGCAACTTTAGTGTAATGCTTGCATTGGCTTGGTTATCTCTGACAGTTAAAACGTCATTAGCTCGATATGCATGTCATTATGTCTCCTTCAGGGAAACCAACACAAAACGGTGATTCACTGCCTTTGTGTAAATATTCTTCTTGGCTCTTGTCTTTTGGTCGTCTCTCTGTCTCAGTATGACTTTTCCAGAGTTACGGTGACCTGCTGTCATCATACAGAGCCTGTCTGGGCCTTTATAGCTTCATCAGAACTTGTCAGTCTAAAGGTCCTTACACACCGGGAACGACGCAAATATACGATGCAAAATTCTGAAATATTCAGAGGCGAATTTTGACGTGCCTGACTATACATATCAAGCGTGATGCGATTTTGCGACTCTTCAGGGGGAAAAAGCCGCGTCCTGAGTGAAAGCGAGAAGACTGACACAACAGCAGACTGAGTGTTTTTCAGTTCTGATTAGACACTAGTGTTGAGATGTCTGTCTGTCATGATAGCATGTACTGAGTTGGAGCCAGTACCAGATAAGCACATTGAACTATAATCCATAAATGTAAGGTAACAACTGAGACCTAATGGTGCTGTGACAGCAACATGATTGAGTTTGAGACAGTGAAAATACATATGGTATGTTGTATCTGAACAGGTTAGCTTACGAGCTAAAGTTACTTAGCACAGATGAAAGTTAAAACAAAGACGTTTAGCAAACTGTTAAAGCACACAAACCATCGTCATATAGAAATCGACGCTTTGCTCTCCACAAGTTGTCCTTCACTTATTATCTTTGTAATATTTGTGTTTTTTATCAAGAATCACTCTATTCTCCGACACTAGCAACAAATGTAGCGACTTATTGTGGTGTCATTGGAGACTTTTGGAGACGCTGACGTTCAAGCACGTATCACCTAGCAGTTGCTGCTCTGAGCCTCTCCTCCACCCCACAAAAATAAATGCTGAATATCGCAGGACAGCAAATGAATACGCATGCGAAAGCGCTGTTGGTTGTTACAAACCAAACAAAACTTAAAAAAAAATAATCACATCCGAAATAATCGCACGATGGTTTTGGATGGTCCCAAGCCCGGCTTAAGGAGGCGGGTTGGTATTATCAACAGAAGAAAGTTAATTAGTAGTTCTAAACATATTTCAAGTGTTTCTTACTCACTTTTTGTCTCTCCCACGACGTTGTTCCTTTCCCTAACAGCGTCCATTACAATTTGGCCAATTATGCATATTAGGCGATGGCGTCATTTGGCAACTTTTAACGACTTTTAGGACAGCCAATAGCTACTTTCCTTACTGAGGAGTTGGCAACACTGGGTGTGAAGACAAGAAATAGTCAACAGGCTTCAAAAGTTACTCTGTAGGAGACGTAAATTAACCACTGTGATTATTTCATGCCTCTGTTCAACACGCTAACATGAAAATCGCCTGTTTTCACTCAATCTTGAAGGGGAACGTGATGTTTATTTCACACACACTGGACTGATAATATATTGCTGCCGTGAAGATGCTCTCAAATGTGGAATCTGGGGTGCTTTTAAAATCTGTGTTAGTATGAAAAAAAGTGAAAATTGAATCAATTTTGAAAAACATCGCACAAAAGAAGACAATAAGAAGAAATTTGGAGCTCACGTTGTGTGGCTGAAATTGAAAAATCCTGAACCTGTCACTGGTTTTGAAATACTAATTTGCGTCTCGAAAACAAACCTAAGTTGCACCTCCTCCAAAAACGAAAATTATTTACAGACTCAAAGTTTGTCATTTGGCAAGATAAAAACGAAAATTTGTAATGTCCTTGGCTGCGCTGGTAACTACTTTTCCAATCCTTGACTTCTCAAACTTTAAACAAGCGTACTGAGGTCATTACATGGTTTTAATTTAGAAATAATCATCCATGCTCCCCAGATGTTTTGCTTTTGTTTAGAGAAGAAAGGTTAAGGATGCTGAAACGGTGAAATAAGGTCTGGGTTTCATTTATTTCAAGGGAAATCCACACAGCTCCGGCTCCTTTAAGCTCGCTAAGTTTCAGAGGAAAATCTCATCAACACATCAACAGTTTGGATGCATTTGATCAACACCGATCCCAACAGGGCTGTATTCTCAGTGTTGTGTTTTGGAAACCTGACAGTGGCCTTTTGATGGGAATCACAGGCTCGTCCTGGTCAGGCAGCTGCTGGAGAGATCATCGTCTGCGTTTGCATGGCACCCGCTGAGCACCATGGGAGAGCTCTCCCAGGTAATTTCCATAAATATGAGTAATGTGCCCCCTTTCCACTTTGGTGAAGGTCCCTGAGGGAGGATACAGGGATATATGCGTACTCTGTCACATCCGCAGACCAATAACTTATCCACAAATGTGTTTCTGGGTTTGCATCGATTTGTTTTTCGCAGCAAAGTATTGAAGACCAACATTTTAATGAGGGCAGGATTTGGTGCGGGTTCCTTGTGAATAAAAATGACATGTAAAAATAGCATCAGGAGGACGCTCTTTTTAAGCTGCGGTAACTTCCTTTATTTGAAGTTATGAGTTCCTCTAAATTATCACATATTCAGAAGCAGGTTAACACGTTAAAGTTAAATCAAATGTAACGTGCTGATTACTGACTGCAAATGAGGTAAATGAGCAGCTAAAAAACCACAGAGCCAATTTCCTCGATCTACAAAGTTATTTTCACGTTTGTTGTCCTTTCTTTTCTGTTTTATTTTCTCCAAACAGTAATAAAAATAGATACTTTATACCCCGGCGCCACAGTCCATTTAAATTTACACTGCAATCCATATCTTCTTTTCTGTGTTGGCCCAGGTCGCATTGTAAACCCTACATACCTGCTTTAGGCCCAATTAAACAGACAGAGAGGTCTGCACGGGTCAGGAGACAGCTCATCCAACATCAGCAGCAGCAGCAGCAGCAGCGCCGTGAAACCCTGAGCTTCTGCCAGTGTTGTTCGGAGACAGAGCGAGAGAGGGATGGTAGTAATCTTTATTTGATTATTGGACAGACAGACAGACAGACAGACAGACAAGAAGAGAACAATAATAGTAAAAACGCAACCATCTGAGGTTGAAAAGTGGTGTTTTTTCTCATGTAATTTCACATTTGATGGATAGAAAAATACATTCCTGCTATTTTCTAAGAAAACAAAGACAACAATATATTTTATAAGTGAACTGAAACCAAATTCTAGTACTTTTTGGGATCAGCTGGAACAGTTTTACCCAGAGGTCAGATTGTAGATTCAAAAGCGCTCTTGCTGACCCCTTCTGTGGGTGAAGCTCTATAGGAGACGGTGGCCTTAAAGGACAAAAAGCTCTCATAATGCATCAGAGTATGATCCCCTGTTTTTCAAGTCTTAAAAAAATCTCACATAAACACAAATTATTTTATGCATAACAATCACTCTTCTTCTTTTCTTCTCTTTTCTTTCTTCTTCTTCTTCCCTTTCTTCTTTTCTTTTTCTTTCTTGTTTTTTTTCTTTCATTTTCTTTTCTTTCTTTTTCTTGTTTTTTCTTCTTTTAATTTCTTACTTTCTCTCTTCCTTCCTTTCTTTTTTTTCCTCTTCTCACTTCTTCATTTCCTTCTTCCTCTTCTTTGTCATCTTTTTCCCCTTTTCCTTCTTCTTTTCTTTTTCTTCTTCATTTTCTTCTTCCTCCTCTTCTTTGTCATCTTCACTTTTTCCTTCTTCTTTTCTTCTTCACACTTGTTTTTGTTCTCTTTCTTCTTGTTGTTCTTGTTCTCTTTGTGACCTCCCAAAAGACCTGTGTTTGTTAGTTTTCAATTAACAATTTTACTAATTACCCTCTATCTCCAAATTTACAATGATTTGAGGGATAAATAAGTAACTTTTGGTTTTTAAATGATGTGACACTTCATGGAACTTTTTAAATACTTTTCAGAAATCTCAGTGATGTTTTAAAAGAACGACTTAAAGCACTGAGTGATGTAAAAAAAAAAAAAAAGATACAAGCAACAATGTGATCATTACACTATATTTCCACCAGTTCTGTACCACTAAATGCCACGTAAAACTACTCACTGTGCCTTTAAAAGCCTCAGTTTCTGAAAACCATATTTGAAGCTCGTGATTTAAAATGAAAAGCAGCTCATTTTGAAGCTGTCAGTTAAATCAAATACAAACCTAAAGGGCCTTACAGGTTTCAACACGCACATCAGCGCGTTAAAGTCCTCTACCCTGCACCTCCTGCAGTCATCACCATGTTTTTCTTGTAGGAAAGAGAAGAAGTAATTAAGTGCTTATGATGATTTATCAAAGCCCTGCACAATATATTGTGAAGGCATTGCCATTGCAACATGCTATACACGCCAAATCACCATATGAAGCCAATGCACTTCCTTTTAGTTATGTCTACTTTTAGTGTTTTATGCAAGAGGGAAACCCGCCAGATTCTCATTTCTAATGACATATCGACAAGTTAAATTCACTTGATTTGGAAGTCATGCAGACCTACAGCAGAGCGTAGCTAAATGATCACCGGGCATGTAGAGAGGACTGGCAGAGAGATGAACCAGGTGCAGTAAAGATTAAAAGCAAAAACGAGGGGAAATATTCAAGAATCAAAACAAGAAAATCACATTTAGGTGCATTTCTAGACATGAGTTAAACACTGCGTTGTCAGTCTGTTTCGCGCTCTGGTTATTATTCTTTGAAAGGTATTTTGTAGTTTCACCTAGCTCCTCTCTGCCCCCCTTTCGACTCACTCTGGAAGTTCAACTGTGCTCGGACAGTAAATTAAACTCCTCAGAGGAAACCATTAATAAAAGCCTGACATCCCGCTTCCTCTTTCTGATTGCTGATTACACCTCGGAGTTTTTGAAATGCAGTCTGCGAGTCACCCCAGGACCAGCGCAGGACAAGATCCTCTAAGCTGTAAATTAACCACATACATTATCTATGCCCTCCCCCCCAATTTTGGTCTGCTGATAGCCGTCACCTCGTTGCAGCAGGCGATGTGAGGCCTCCTCCAGGAAATGATAAAAGAGAAGAAAGCTCCTAATGGTTTTACCAGCGTGCTGAATCCCTGCCTCGTCTAATATTAAATCACAGCTTATGGCAACTCAGGCAGGAGACCCAAAGCAGTGCCTGACAAAAAATATGGATCATACCTCAAAAATAAGTCAACATTAGGACTTAGTGTTTGGCGGTTTGTCCTGAGTGGACGCATTAATATTGTTACGTGTCCTCGGTTTTGAATAACGCCAAGGACAAGATGGCGTATCTCATGCCAAGGTCAGGAGCTTTTTACTTTTAAGCAGTGACCCCGTGGAGGTCAACTTTCAAGCGTGACATGCAAAGAACAAAAAACAATAGTCCTGTGGCTGTTTTAAGACTTAGGATTTGCAAATGAAGTGTATCAATGGCGACATAAATCAGATAGATTGAATTTTAATAGCGGTATCTTCTCCTCTCACACGGTTAAAGAAGAATCCACATGCTCAGTGTCTTATGTGTGGTCAGGTCAGTGAACGAACCCCAAATACAGAAGGGATGGAAAAGTGCATATTTTTAAAAATCTGCGAAATACAGCGATAACACGAAGAAATTTCTCTATCTTTATGTGGTCATTATCGTGGTAGATGAACAATGTACGTCATCTTGCACCCTTTCCCCCCCCACACTTTCTGTCTCTATCAAGGTCAAAAATGGACGTAGACATTTTTACATTGATGCAACAGAGGACATATTGTTACTTTTTTCAACCACATTTTTCCCCGTTAGACCCCATATGGATTAGGACGGAAAATGATATGAATTCAATGAGTCATTTCACCTGATTTGAGTAATTTCTTAGACAATTCAGTTGAGGCTAAATGAAACTTTTTTTTTATACTGATTACTTTGCATATTATTTTAATTTCCTTGTTGGAACCTTCCCAAAACGCTAGATAAAGTTGTATCTAATCCAATCTAATGTGATGTGAAGCAATCTAATCTGGTCAAATCTAGTCTAGTCTAGTCAAGTCAAATCTGATCTAATCTAATCTAATCTAGTTGAATCTACTCTAATGTGTTCTAGTTAAATCGAATCTGATCTAATCAAATCCAGTCTAATCTGGTCTAGTCAAATCCTATCTAAAATAATCTAATGTAGTCTGATCTAGTCCAGTCAAATCTAATCTAATCTAATCTAATCAAGTCCAATCTAATCTAGTCTAGTCTATTTGAGTCCAGTCGAGTCAAGTCTAATCTAGTCTAATATAATATAATCTAGTCGAATCTAAACTAATCAAATCTAGCCTAATCTAGTCTAGTTGAATCCGATCTAATCTATTCTGATCTAGTCTAATCTAGTCCAGTCTAATCTAATTTTATTGAGTTGAGTCAAATCGAGACTGATCTAAACTAATCTAATCTAATCTAGTTTTGGTTGAATCTAAACTATTTTAATCTAGCCTAATCTGGTTTTATCAAGTCCAATCTGATCTAATCTATTCTATTCTAATCTAATTTTATCTAGTCCAGTTGAATCTAACTTAATTCTATCTAATCCTTTTTTGATCTCATCGAGTGGAGTCAAGTCGAATCCAGTTGAGACTGATCTGATCTAATTATATCTAATCTAATCTAATAAAATCTATTCAAATTGTGTCAAACTGAGTCCAGTCGAGTCTAATCTAATCTAGTCTAATCTAATTTTATCTAGTCTAATCTAGTCTAGTTGAATCTGATCTAATTGAGTTGAGTCGAGAATAATCTAATCTAATCTAATGGTGTCTTAACAAAATTGCCATTGTCCCACCCCTCTAAAAGCCGATATCGCCATTATCCTTTATTCCTATCCCCAGTGACAGCATATCAAATCGTTCGCAGTCAAAACCTGCTTTTTTCCTCTTTCTCTTGTCAGACTGTCTAATTTCTCCTAAAACTCTTTCATTGCCTGAAAACATTTTTCTTCTTAGTCAAGGAGCATCAAATTATGATGATTATTCAGTTTTACACAGCCGAATTTCCACAGAGCAGAGCATCAGGTTTTCACTGCTGTCGAGGCTCTTTCTCCTCCGGTAGGAAAAAAAAGGCCTTTTTCATCAGTAATTGATAGGTGCTTGTTTTGGTTCAGTGGTCTTGTGTCACTCTTGCCACTATGTGTTAGGAATATATCAGAGTCGGAGCGGCGTGTGAAGGTGGGGAGATGGTGGAAACAAGTGTGTCATGACCAGAGAGAGTGGCACATACGCCATGCTTGTCAGGATGACTAATAGCCCGGGGCAACAGGTCTCGCCGTGGGGTGTGAACAATCAGCCGGGCCTCAGGTTGTAGCCTGACAGCCACACGCATGACTTGGATACAAGTTGGTCACCTGTACTTTGTGTATCTTAACAGGACCTTCGCTTTAATAAGTTTTACCCCCAAACTTTTGACTCTTTCTATTTAATACAAGTTTCTGCGCTATCATCTGCGCGCTTAAACTGAACGACTTTTTATGACACAAAGTGAAAGACTGGTAACGCTTCAGATCAAATCACATGGATCATTTAGTCTTTTTGCTTTTACTCAGAATCTTTATTTGACAAGTCTGCTCAGAAAGCAGTACATCAATTCGGAGTGACATTTACACTCTCACTCATCCATAAGGAGGAAAAAGAGAGAGCTGTCTGCTCGGTGTAACAATATCTCCTTCACTTTTTCATAAATTTAGCACATTACGGGTCCAGTTGTTTAAAATAAATGGAGTCTGGCAAGGAATGAGTTCATTTTTGTCTGGGGTGAACAGAAACGGTGGGATAAGCCTTTATTTTCTGTATGGTGTATTAACTTTAGTATTATTGAGAGCAGTGTCCATTATTTTACTAATATGTTTGAATTATTGACCTCCTTGTTGTTCAAAGTTGACCAGACCCAGTCCTGATGTTTCAATCTGTTCGAAAAACTAAGATGACAGGAACTCCATTCTTATTTTCACGAATTAAACACCAAATAATTGTGTAGTATCTAACGTGTCTTGCTTTGTGGTTACCTTAGAGTAAGGTAATAGAAAGAGTGAAACAATCTGTGGACTGTAGACAGCCACAGGTTGGACCACTTTGTCATTGACGCCTCTGTTGAAAACTAAGAAGCTGTCCGTCAGCCAGCTTCCTGTACAGGGTAAATGTGACTTATTATTTCATCCTGGAGCTTGTTCTGTCACGTGTAAAAAAAGTAGGAGGACATCTTGGCAGATAAAAGCTTCACAGTCTGACGTGCGTCACAACCTTCTAAAAATAAACCCTGGAAACAAACTTTCCCTGTTTTGTTCTTTTTTTAAACTTTCAGTATTGACTGTTTTGTGGACCGTAAGTAGATCGGATGGCGGTGTGTTATTCAGAGAAGAGTGGATTTGTCAGCAGCACCAGGAAGACCTGCTTTCCCCATGACTTAGCATTAGTACCAGTACAGAGGACATGCTTCTCATGCACATCCAGTAACCCACATCTTCAAAGTGTGAGATTTATGTATAAGAAGACACAGAAATAGCTGCTTATGTGTTGTTTTTTTTAAATAACCAGTGACAAAACCAACGTCTCTATACTGTACATCCCCCTTGTTGTTGTTACTTGATGTTTTTGATACATGATATAGAGGGAACTTCCTGCATGTGCTGTAAACAGATAGCTGTCCATGTTATGCAGATGGAGTTGCAAGAGATGTATTCGGTGTAGACTTAAAGGCGCAGTAAGGGATTTTCATGTTGCGTTGAATTTGATGATCTGGACACTGAATTGGAGAAGAAGAAGAAGAACTTTATTGAGCCCCGAAGGGAAATACAATCGTCTGTTGTCTCACATATTATGTTTTTTTGTTGGATCTACGACCATCTCCTTTGTCTTTGAGGTGTTGAGGAGGAGGCAGTTTTTGTGACTCCAGTCACTGAAGGCTCTTATTAGATCTCTGTATTCAGCTTCTTGTCCATTTCTGATACATGCCACAATAGCGGTGTCATCTGAGTATTTCTGGACGTGGCAGGACTCAGTACTGTATTTGAAGTCTGACGTGTACAGTGTGAACAGGAAGAACAGGAAATTGAGGAAAAAGTGAGGATATCAAATCGGTATTAACTGTGTTGTTCACGAAGAGGCATTTGTACAAGATGGTGTCATCTGCATAGAATAAACACAGTAAACCCACTAGCATTAAAACTCACATTTAGCTTAAAACACCTCAGAAGTCATTCAGATAAAAAATTGAATTCTGGCGAGCTGACTGAGCTAAAGACTCAGATTACAGTTAATTTGACTGACCATGACTAAACTCTGCATCAGAGCCTCTTTGGCTGATTGGATACAGGGTGTAGCTAACACTGGCAGAGCTAGCACCACCAGCAATAGGTCTGGACTGTCCGTGCCATGCTGGTTGTGTAATCGCTAAAAGCAATTAACTAGATGTAGCCCACGTACATCCCTATTTCTTGACAGAGTTTCTATCTGTCACCTGTGCTTGATTACATCTGGGTAGTGGAGCATTATTACAGCAGGATATTTACCTTAAACCACAGCTGACTGTGGTGGAAATCTTAGGCCTACAGCTAAAAAATAAAATAAACTTGTTGAACAGACCAGTAATTCTAGAGCTAATTTGCTAAAGTGATGAAATTTTGCAGTTTTGACCGCTAAGGGCTTACAACCCTTTTAACTGTTGCACCATTTGCATTATGAAAGAGTCGATGACTCGCAACACCTGAAAAACACCTGAAATATGATACACATACCTGAACATGCTGTACAAATACAGTTGGCTGCACGTTGATATGTTGCAACGCTATGCCATCCGCATCATGCAACCACTAGACAGCAAAAGAATCAAAACCTGATATTTTATTTCCAATCAAGACAACATTAAAAAACATCTTTTATTGACCTTTCAGTCCAGGTAAGCTATTATCTGATATCTATGAAGAAACAGTCGTCAACAGGCTGCCAAAAACCTGAAATAGTATCCGCTCCCTGGACATGCCGTACAGATCCAGTCAGCTGAACATGTTGTTCAGATAAATCACCTACTAGAGATGTTTGGAGGGTAAACACCGTGACGTCATCTGCATAAGAGAAATACAGCAGCGCCTCACACCCATTTTTAACCGACTACTGGTTTCCATTTTGCCAGCGCTGGTTGACGTCTCTTCCAATCACGCCTGTTCATTTGCACATCAGTGTAACACTGCAGCTCAGGTTTGTTAAAACAGTGTTAACAGCCAATTAGTCATGAGTAGAGGTGGCAGAATTTTATGTTGCCCTGGAAGACAAGCGTTTTCCAGCAGCATTTTATTTTCCAGGTGTGTTGGGCCGTTTTTATATGCTGTGGGCAGACAGCCTTGCCCACCCTGTAAACAGTTATGTAGAAAGTGTCAGAACAATAAAAAAGGACCACCAGAAATTGTCAGAGATTTAATTGACTTCTATTCATAAGAAAAACAGCTCAGTGGGAGCTGATCAGCAGGTTTTGTTGGCTGTTCGGGAAATTGGTGTTGTTGAGAAAGGGAAGAGGCCAAGTCGGAGTGCTGTCACCTTGTTTTTCCTGTTTTTATATGTTTGACTTGAAGAGTAGGATCAATTTGATTTGATCAGCACCTGTTCGAGTGGCCCAAAACCGCAACTGACAACCTGTAATAAGAGTCTCATTCGGTTTTTAACAGTATGTCAAAATTAGGGCTTAGTAACTTAATGTAAAATTTGCAGTTATTTTGATCTGTAATGCAATTTTGTTATGATTTGGGATATTAAAGAGAAGCACCAGCTGGCTTGGCAGTGAGGTCATACTTCGTTATGTTCACATGTCAACGTTGAGATTTTAATTCAGCCCTTTCGATGCTGTTTATCTGTTGTGACCCAAATCTGCATGAATCTATTGTCTTCTAATGGAAAGCAACTGAAACTATATGAAATTTGAATGTAACCCCGAGCTAATGAAATGTAATGTGAGGTATTTAAGCATAAATGTGGTTTACAGCCAAATATAAAAAAAAAATACAATCTAGGATTCATCTGTAATAAAATTAAAAACATGGTCCTATAAGGGGATTTTGCTTTGCTTTTAAACATTATGAATTGTATATTAGAAATATTTCTATATGACATTCCAAAGTAAACATATGATCGATTTTTGTCTAATTTTTCGTGTTGAATTGATTAATTTAATAGGACTACATTTTCCACCATAAAAACTTACAGCAAGTGATGCAATTAGCAATAAAAAGTATGTTTTCTGCTTTATACCACTCTCTTTACATGCACAAGATTGAATCAACAAAAACTTCAGGTTTTGTCCACACGTGGTGCCAAAATCAAAAGTTTCCGGAAAGAATGAACAAGTGGCAGGAAAACCAAGAGCATCCTGAGAAATAAACAGTTATCAGACTGCAAAGACTTTTTTGTACTTATCAATGTCTATCAGTCTCAGTTCAGGCTGAATTCACTCGACGGGTCCAAAATATTTCATTTTAAAATATTACACACCAACATTTTTTTTTTTTAATGTTCATTTTGAGTAAGAAAATCGGCCAATAGACTTTGATAAAATCTCAAATTAATCCAAATAAATATCAAGTTCCTTGAAATGTGAAAATATCTTGTTTGATTCTTTTCCCTATTCTATTGGCAGATTAATTTTTACTCGTTATAAGCAATTCAGGTCATAGTTTTGGCAGGTAATATCTTGAAGTGAGACATTTTTCTGGACATGTCAGGGGAATTTGGCTGAATTTAAACCTAAAGTTAAGACAGAAACATTTACTTAGATTTGAGTTTTTACAGTGAAGAGGTATTCCCATATAGATGGCCAAACAGAAGATAATGATGAGACACTAAAGCTTTTTTACCACATGGATTTTTGCAAATCAGAATAACAAATGCTGTCTAGTGATTAGCTTTTTCATTACAAATGACTTAATCAGGAATTACTCTTACTGTGCCCCCTCAGGGAAACATCACACTGAGTAGTTACAGAGAAATTCCTCATTAGCTCAGGTACATCAGTAATGTGTATAATAACCCTCGCATATTTCAGTTTAATGAATCTGTAGGTTAAATTGTTCTGTAACATGTATAAACAGACCTGCATTTAATACGGTTGTAAAATTCATGACTGTGCCTCAAACATGTGCGGTAAAGCACATGTTGGCTAAAATCTGGCATAATTGCCGTGTTGTGTTTAAATCTAAATGATACGTGTATCATATTTCTCTCAAGACAGTTATTTTTGTGAGTCATTGAGTAATCTAAAGGGAATATTTTACCTCCAATCCAGAGATGTGACTGCCTGAGGTCTTGGCAAAGTCCAGCACAATCCAGGAGAAGAAAAAACTCCACCGAGCGTTTGTGATTAAGTGTCTTTATTTAAGCCTGTGAACTCAAACGAGCAATCAGAGCCAGAGCTGGGCCCTGAACTTCCTCAGAATGGTGCAGCTGGAAGCACAGACGAGTGTTACCGACCAACCATTATCACTTCTCTGTTGTTAGCTGCATCTACACTGACGCAGTGTCACTCACTTAATTCAGCCGACATTTAAAATAAACCCTATATTCAAGATTCAGTCTTTCTATATTATAATTGTTGCACAAATTGACGTTAAAATATCATACAATTATAGTAATATTTTCTCCAAACAGACAGATCTGGGACATCCTGTCTCTTGACCACAAACCAAATGTCTCCAGTGGCATTTTTTTATTGTTTCATGACTCTAGCTACATTTTTAATACTTAACATGTTTATACAAAACAACATAACCTTTTCATCCCTTTCCTCTTAAATTCTTTAATCTTCAGAAGCTGAATCACAAAAGGGGGGTAAAGAAGTGCTGAGAAAGAGCCAGCCGGACAGGTTGAGAGACGCAGCATGTCAGGATGATAAAGCATGTTTTGTTTTCTGCGGTTTTTATGAATGAATTAAAGTTCCTGTGTGCTGGCAGCCCTGTCCTGTCTCTACCTGTCTGACGGTGAAATTCCCACATTCTCTCTGTCTTGCTCACATCACTCGCCCTGATGAGCCGATAATGTCAAGGAAGTTGGACGGTGGTATTTAATTTATTTTGTCTTGTCTATGCGCAGTATGACAGAGAAATATTCATCCTCAGAACCTTAGACCATAAAAACCGCCGGCTTTTAATTTATACAGCTTTCTAAATAAACAACCACAAGCTTTGTTATACCGAGTTATGAAATCTCTGAACAAACTCACCTTCAATGCAGTTTTACACGCCTACGTGTCACATACAGGTGTGACACCAGCTGGGCGTGGGTGTCCAGACTCTCTGAAACGCTATTTTTAGAGCCATCTAAAGGGAGGATGAGGTCAGAATATATTGGGTTAAACACAACACACACACACCTTCAAGGTGATTCAGTGGCACTCACTTGTGAGACCTGGTCTGTCTGGTCAGCTCGAATACTCCGACAAGATCAGACAAACGCTTGGAAACACTGGATCACTGACATGACTTTCTCATTTGCGTTACGCTGTTTAGTTTTTGACCGCTGGGGGAGCTATGGCGCACTGATTTGATGTCACTATCGCAGTAGTTTGCACAACGTAGATTTCATAATTATGTCTTTTTTTTATTGCAAACATTTAACAAGACATGCAAAGGAGCGAAATGCAATCTGAATAATAATTGAAACAAAAATAATAAGAAATTTAAGAAACAGCACCAAAGAAGACAAAAACAAGAGACAAAAACAACAACAAAAAAAGAGAGACATAAAAGATTATGGTACAGCAGCAAAAAAGGCAAGCAGAGCAAAAACACACATGAGATGAGAGTAGGGAGTATCAGACACAATTGTTCAAAATGTATGGTGAGGAATATTGTCGCTTGATTGTGTGGATGAGTACTATGTATGTGGTTTGGGGGCAAAACGTTTCGTAATGTACATTTAAAAACTTAATCATAATAAGTCAAAGTAGAGGCTTTCATTACCATCCGAAATTACATTTAATGCAAAAAACCTACTTGTTTTGTCAGAAAGGTTTATTTAAGATTTTGGGTTGTACTTAGGGTGGCCAGTCAGATTTTAAAAGGGGCCCAGACCACCTTGGCTAACCCCCTGGATCTGTCCCTGCAACCAAGCTACAACTTCTTAAGTCCATCCAACTCATACCGCCCTGCATACAGAGATTCCAGTTAGGCGACACAACAGATTCATACACAGGACCAAAGACTTTGCATAGTTTTAGCCTGATGTTACAACACATCCCAACTTGTGCACATAAGCACGTACTTAGCCTTCCATTAGTGTGAATGAATGATGATAAATCTCTTATTTATTACGGCATAAGGTGTCTGTTTTTCTAGCCAGCATAGATGTTTGCTATCCTCTTACAGGACATGTCCACATGACTCAGTCTGGAGTTGTGACTCTTGCATAAGTTTTTAATCATTCAGCACATTGCATAAACGGCTCCATAGTGGGAATTTGCAAATATTAAGATGTATCTTTGGCTGGATTCTTTTCAAGCTAAAAGTCTTTGGTTTTATTCTTATACTTCACCAAAAACTGGATAGAAACATCAGCAAGTTTCATACCAGGCCTTCCTATACCATGTCCGATCTATGTTGGACATCTGGGTCTACAAATTCAGGTTTAACTTTCTCTACAATTATAATTTGTTATCACCATTTTTCATTAATTAAGGGCATCATCTAAAGCTGGAAAGACTCAAAATCGAATGCATGTATTATCATGAAAGTGTCACTTCTGCAGCAGCTTAGTTTCTGAGCCCTCACAGATGATTAATATGCCAGTAAAATATCAGTTTTATTGAGGTGTCCGGTGTCCTCTTAGTTTGCTTTAATCCTGGGTGTTAAAATTAAAGCAGGTGATAAGTCGAAAGAGCAAAGTCAGCTTTTGGCTGCAAGTGACGTCTTTTTATTGTTCTCATTTCTGCTGATTACAAAGCAGTTAAAATTCGTACAATGTTATATTGCGGAAAAAATGTGCAGATGGGTGGACACCATAGATAAAATCAAACTGCAATCAAGTAATGAATGATAAAAACATGTTATATTCAAGAAAAGATAAGAAAGTGGAGTTAATTTGAAGAGATTATGACAAAATCTGAGATAAAAATCAGCAGTTCTCGGACTGTTTGTTTATCCCTGTAAGATTTCAGAGACAGTAATGTTTATATGGAGATGTGTCTGCAGGAATGATGTCAGAAATGTGTTTTGAAAGCCAAGATCCATTTTGTGATAAGCAGAGCCATGACACACGTCATTCATACTTTACATAAGAGCATAAAGGCATCTTAATCTTGTAGTCGATGACAGACAGAATCTCACAGTCAACAGCTGGGAGCTCTGGGAATGCCGCTCTCATTCCTGTGTTTCTCTTCTATCTGCATGTACATGTAGTTCTGCCCGAGTGTGTTACTGTGAAAGTGTGTGTGTCCCAGCAGGTTCAGACGGCCAACACACTAACCTGTTTAACTCACTCGGCGCCTGAGCCACTGATGGGGGCCCTTAGCTGCTCCTCGCCGGTCCAACCCCTAAAACAAGCTCCCGGGCTCAGTCCGCGGTTAGGACCTGAACCAAGCCTCCATTCACCTCATCAACCCAGCTGTTTATTTTCAGAGGCATTAGAGGAAACACTCGACAGAGCTTATCAGATCCAAACAGTCGCACGTCTTTGTTATTTTACACACAGGCCCTCTCTCAACTCGGCCTCATTTTCAGTAATTGTTTTCTTTCTTGCTCGGTAGAATAACACGGAGGGCTACATTTAACACAAGTGGTAAGGGAATCCGTCAGTGTAAACAAGACCGATACAATGCACACTGGGATTTTATCTGAGGCTTTTCTGTCATTTTATGTTTTTTAAGGGCAGGGCTGGAGCAAATATCGAAGTGTACGTGCGTTCAAGTCAAATTTGTTGAAAAGAAATACAAGCTGCTCCGACACAGAAGCAGCAACCTCCCATATAGATCCGTGTTTGTCTCGATAACTACTTCACTAAACATCAGAGCCACTCCGGGTTTGTATTAGCTCTTTAGCAAAGTTAATAATGTCAACAAGAATGTTAATGATAAATATTCACTGATGTAGATGTTTTTCATGACAAATTAGAGCCGATTACCTCAATTGTAAAGACACTGATGAGGAAAGAAAGCAAAATCTCTGCTCATATTGCCCCAATGGACAAATGGTGCCTTCAAACCAGGTCTTATTTTTTAAGTACAGTTACAACAAGAGACCTTTCGACCTTGTGATATCAATATTTTTGGCTAAAATTGGTCAAAACATCAACATTATGTCATTTTTCTTTGCAATTTTGTGATATTTTATGTAAAAATAGTTAGCTTGACTGCAACTTGTAACACTACTGTCATATCCTATTAAAATATTTGTTGTAATCAAGTATTATTAAAGCTCCTATCAGGAGTTTTTTGACATATTTGAAATATACTATAATTCATTTTGATACCTTTTAATAATATTGGCAAGATTGGTGGTTTTTATTTCCTAATTTTAATGCCTAAAACTGTTAGGGGGGGTAGGTGTCCTCACTCCAGTTTGGCCAGTGCGAACCAGTGACTCTCCAGTTAACTGATCACATCTCTGCGTGCTCGTAAAACTCTCAATGTCTCTTTGCATCTTTGTAATTATCGTTGGATGATTGTTACCAGTTGCATGTTAGTAAGATGTAACACAGTCAGAGGGAAGCAGCCAAAACTAGCTAGTTGGTTTAGCATAGCTTATCAAAAGGCAAATGAAGCTACTGCTAGCAGCCAACATCACAAAAAATCAGCACCTTATTATGACTTGGATAGATTATGGCTTATGACTTCCTGTGACTTGTACCAACTCAGAGTCATTTAGCAACCATTAATATATGTAATAAAACAGATTTTTTTGTAGTTTTTTGTCAATGCAATTTTAAGGCATTCAAAGTCGAAGCTACTCTGTGAATTATTACAGTACTTAACTGTAATATTTCACAGTAAATGACACTTTATAGGCTTTTACCATAATGTTTACCCTACAATATTGAAATGTTGAATTTTACTGTGAAGTCCATACAGGCGCAATAAATTATTCTGAAGTATTTACAGTAACTTGCTGTGAAAATAAGTAAACCAAATAGCCAGTAATTTACTGTAAATTTACAGCCAAAAATGTTATATATTTTTGGCCAAAACATTTGAACAAGTAGGATATTCTGTTGTCTCCAAATTTTTAACAACTAGAAGACATATCCTTATTAAGTTTTAACAAAAACATCAACTTCATTTAAGAATAGTAACCGAGTTCCTCTGATTGATTTTTGACTGAAACAGTGTGAGGCAAAAAGACTCAAACAGGACTAAAATCAACCTTAATTTTCTTAAAATGACTAAAATTAAACTCAAATTCCTTGTTCAGAACTACTCCTCTGTTAGGCATAGAATTGAAGTTAATTCTATAATCTGAAATTTCTTATACTTACAAATAAATTTCTTTCTTTCACGTTCAATAATCAACTTTGCTCTTTACTTGATCCAGTTTTGTCCCCTTCGTGTGATCTGCTGCAGCAAGTTTGTTGTGTTGCAAAAGCAAAGAGGGAGTTGTTGTGACACTGTAATGCTCAGACTCAACATGGTGGCAGTGTTGCACTGTCTTCAAGCTGTCCGTGCCACTCTGTACCAAGCAGCTGGAGATAGAGCATTAGTGAGCAGCCATGTGAGTAAACAAGCTGATTTTACAAAACAACCATGAATTATGGTTTATACTTGTCACCAGAGGGCAAAATAAAATACACACTTGTTAAGTTGCTGAATTATGTCTGCTCCGTTCATCTCTTCTTATCAAAAACAGTCAGCCTCATTGGAGGAATCAGAGAGTTTTCAACAGGCAGGAAATGTTTGCAGTCACTCGTGACTGACAACACAACCTCTGTTCACTCACAGGGTCTGCAGACAAGCCAGCCCAGTATCAGAGCAAACATGGTCCAAATCCCCCCCAGTCCACCTCCTCACGCTGCCAGCAGGAGCTCTCGTAGATGGGCTGAGCGAACTCTGCCAACTGCGCCATAAAATAAACACACAGTAAATCCAGCGTGATTAACATTAATCACGATCACGTCACTGCTAATGCGAACGCACTGACTGAGGACTGAAGGGTGAAATCCCACTGACCTGGGCGCCTGTTGTCTCAGAGTAGAGGGTCAGAACAGATCAGCTGGAAAATCTATAAAAATGCAACTATCTCAGATTTAGTCTTAAACACTCATGGATTAAATCTCCATTATTCCTTTAAAGGACAAAACTTCTATGTACCAGTTTATTTTTAATGTGTATGTTCTTATCATTTTACTTTTTATCCATCAATAATCCTCAAATACGGACACGGATGTGAGTGTAACTTATCGTTCCTGAATTGGCACAGCTGTCTGCGGTTGTTCAGTTCAGCCTTGTGCTTTTCGAGGAGTGGAGATGCGCGGCGTTTCCTGGCGAAGCCGTTTAACGACTCTTGTATATGTTGGGTGACATCCAGTCCAGAAAGATGCACCTGGAATCAGTGTGTCGTGATGGTTGGCTGCTGCTGTTGTTTGTCATTATAGGAGTTATCTTATGTGCCTCTTGACTGTCAGTGTGTTTTTATTGTGTATTTCATGGCAGCTGATTTAAGGTCACAGAACTAAATATTGACGGAGTATTTTGTGTGTTTCTTTTGTGTGCGTTTGGGTGGTTTTGAGGACAGTGTCTTGGCTTGGATCGGCTGTATCTGGCAACACGGACAGAAATCCAATTCATTCTTGAGAACACTCTGAGCTGCATCGTCATCTTTGATTGTTTAGAGTTAATCAAACCTGTGAGACATCTAACTGAATATACTCTCGTGCCAAAACGAGGATTAATGACGGCTTTGAAACGCAACACTTAACGCAGACAGTGACAAAAATGGCAAACTTGGAGTATTAGACTTACGTCACCCCAGTAGCTGGTTGCAGCATCAGAATAAAAAGACTCAAAATGCACATGTGCTCGACAAAACGTTAAACTTTATTTGATTCCTCTGACTCTGTCGAAGTGAAAATGTTCAACTTTCTTGAAATCTTAAAGTTTTTTTTTACTGAGCCAGACACAGTTTGACAGAAAGGTCCCCCGAGGCTGGTAACTTATTGTCCAGGATTGGATTTCAGCTAAAATTAGCCATCAAGTTGGATTTATTACTCTGATTGAGGACTCTGAAAATGCTGCTAACTGGCTCCCTGTTATATAAACCCAGCTCCGACTAAAAGATATAAAGTCTCCATTTAATTCAACCCACATTATTTTTACTCAAACGTGTAAAGAGGTGGTAATAGTGGTAAGTTTCCCATTTTGAACTGGTCTAAGAGGCTTGGAAAAAGAGTAAAATCTCCTTCCAGTTTAATGGAGGTGGCGTTACATGCGTCTTTCCTCAGGTGACTTGACTTATTGAGCTCACTGGAGACTGAGTTATGAAACGACGGGCCAAACACAAACTGGCACGTTAAAGCTCAGGAAAAGTACACCTCTGATTTAGAGCTGCAAACAAAATCAACTGAAAATGAAAGAAAAGTTCCTGAATTTGCTCCTTCATGGTCGATTTCCTGAGTAACTTATTGAACCAAACGGCACACAAAGGTCTTTAGTTTCACATTAAAGCCGCTCATAAAAATATGTTTCTATTTATGATCCCTGAATTGTCAGTTTAAGATGATAAATTGTTTGTAGGACCTCTCTTACATGTCTAAATATGCCTGTTTTATCAAACCTTCCCTATCATTGTGCTGATCGGTCTCTGCATCAACAGTAGCCGCAGTGTTTCTGCAGAGGTTTGCACATAAACTCACCTGAAGACAAATGTCCTTTTGATTTAGAAGTGGTTTCCTCCTCCACTGTTTAAACACAGGTGTTGATTCTGGTGAAAATGACTTCTCCCTCCCTGCGTTTGCTTTTTTAAATACGAAACACTCACACAGGAGCCGTGGACTCTCAAGCAATTATCAGAGATTATTTGAGTACACAGCCTTCCCCCCCTTGCACCCCACCCAAACACACTCATATGCTCCCTTTCTAGTTTTTCCACTCACTAAACTCCCACAACAGGAGCAGCAGAGGATCATAATAGGTTGCAGTTTGAACAGATCTCCTGGTTGAAAGCGTGCACCGGTGCTGCTGCCAGGAAACAGTCTGTCCTGCCATACTGGTGCAGAACATGAAGGCAGGCAGTGCCCTGGCTCTGCACACGAACAAGAACACCGGCCAGACACCCCTTTCTCACCCTCTCTCTCTCTCTCTCTTTTTTCTTACAATGTCACATGCTCCAAAGTGGGGCGTGTCTGCGAAATTAAGAAACTCCTCGCACAACACAGAAATGTTTCCCCAAGAAGCAGGAGATGGGATTGCTGAATGGCTTCCCTTCTTTCTGCTGCTCAGATTATCTGAAGAGAGTTTAGCTTCCTCGGTTGCGGTGTGGATTCCTGCGTGTTTGTGGTTGGCACACATGCATGTCTCATGGCACAGACCCGGGCCTGTGGCACTGGCATGCTTCAAGCCCACACCCAGAGCCATGCTGCACACTTTTCACAGCTGACATCCTCAACTCTGACCAGAGACCGTTAACACCACTGGAATGGACCACACACACAAATTTCGAGCTGGCTGCACGCTGCAGGAGAGTGAAGGAACATTTAAAATAATTGGACTTGTAGGCCCCTTTAGCTGAGTTTTTTATTTTATTTATCATATAAACTACAGAATAAACATGTTTATTTTCAGTGTTCGTTTTAATAGCCTTATTTTAGAATATATATACAACCTAAATTTTAAGTTCTCAGTTATTAAGTTTGCTGAAATGAACTCTGGAGAGTTGGCATAAACTTTTTAAGTTTTATTCACTTAACGTTAACTTTTATAGAAGGGGGAAAAAAACAGGAAAATGATCAGTCATTCTGGTAACGCTTTCCAATAACCATAATTTATAAATGGTAAATAGATAGTTTATTAATGTTTAATCATCATTTAAAAACAGCATAAAAACCAATTATAAATGGCAAATAAATAGTTTGTTAATGTAATGATGTAATAAACATTACTTCGATGGTTATTGTCAAGTTGCAACTGATGTTTGTAATACTTTGTAAATGATTAATAAGTGAAATTTGTAAAATGTACAATTCATTAATGGTCTATAAGCTATTTATAAATGATGATTAAACATTAACTGCAAGTCAAAAGGCATAAACTGCAAACTTGACAGTAACTTTAAAAAAGTGCATCATTCCTCCTCCTGTCCAGTTGCAGGTCTCTTGTGTCTTGAACAGCACAGAGTATAAATCAGAGTCAGTGCAGTAGTGAGGTGCTATAGGAAGTGTGCTGTTTGTACTGCACGACAATGTGTACTTTGCAGGCCTCTGTGGGTTTTCAGCCGCCTGTATATAATGGCCAAGCTGTACGGTAGCTGACCACTCAGTGACAGATGCCAGCTGACAAAAAGGACCATTACACCCTTTTTTTAGATTCTTATACTCCTCACACATGTTAGCTACTGCAGCTACTGATACCTGTTGAAACAATCACAATAATCTCCACTAAGTCTTTAAAACGTATAAACTCTTATCTGATAACAGCAGATTTTAACAAGAACAAACTGCAGTTTGTGCAGGCTGAAAAAAAAAAAAAAAATCAACAAATGGTATTCCCCAAGGAACCGTCCTAGGGCCATTGTTATTTACAATAAATACCAGGAGTATAGACCTGTATTAAGGCTGCATGATATTGGAAAAAACTAACATTGAAATTTTGACGATGCCCAAACGATACACTGTGCAGCCCTAATCTGTATGTTTCCAGTGTTTTAAATGTTCATATATACATTAATTATACAGTTATTTATGCTCTTCTTAAATGCAGGAACAGGTTCTGAGTCACTTACAAGATGCTTTTATTACTGTATAGAATCAAATAATTAATCAAATTAAGGTGCTTTCAGAATAAATGAACAATGAAGATAGCAGAGCTTGTTTTCGAGTGTGCAGGGGTGACAAAGCTACAGCTCTTTAAGGGTGACTAGCAAGATAGTTGGGTCTTTGGTGGCTTGCAGCTAGCATGCATCAAGTGTAATCCAGCAGGGTTCCCATTATCCTTTTTGCAGTTTTCACCTCCTGCGCCAAGTTGTGCGTGCACTCCTTTTTCCTCTCTTTTTTTCTATCAAATAAAAAAAGCAGAAATATAATCCTAATATAACTGTAGATATAATCCTGATATAAACGTTGGTTGAATTCAGGGGGGACGAGGCATAAAACCAAGTCCTGTATCAGTGAGCATAAAATACCCAATCAGCTGACACTCATGGGGCCAAAAGCCTGCCATCATGCCCAGTGGGTGACCCCTTTTATTTATGTGCAACCTCTGTGATCAGACTGGTTTCAGTGGTGTGACTGCAGCACTCCAGCTTACGTCAAACGTGCTGCATACAGTAAACAGCTCTGCTGATCCATCTAAATATTAGCGGAGGGAATGAAAGAAGGACAGGATCAACACGGTCGTGACTCAAAAGACCTCTCACATGGGTCGAGGCAGACCGCGTCCCGCTCTCTCACGGCTTGGAAGACGTAGCTGGGCTGCGTGTGTTTTCTGACCAGTTTTAAATAAACAAACTCAAGTCCAGATTTAATGAAGAGGAAAAGCAGGCTGATGAGAGAAATCAATTTATTTAAGAACTGATGCCACATGGTAAACAGGGAGCTCTTAGCGTTACTTGCGTGTGCATTTCTGGAAGTGCAAACTGCTGCACCATGCCAGGGATTACATAGTAGCACATTTATAACAGTGAGTGGATCTGACAGTCTAAACAAAGTGATTTTAATGACACTCTTCTGGCTCTGCTGTTTCTCCAAAACTACGATAACCACCTATCAATGCAGCTATTTTCAAAGCCCTGAAAGGACTTGTTTGTTTGGTCCTGTAACTGACCCAACGTGAAGCCCCCTCGTCTGTCAAAACAATATTTGCATGAAAGCTGCATAATGACACAAGCCGACATTAATACACAACCGCCCGGCCCACACGAAAACGGCTATCTTTACAATCTGTTGACTTTGTGAGCAAATGAGATGAGCAAATGTTAAAATGTGTAAAGCATAAGATCCGAGCAGTTAGAGTGTAAACATGTTACAGCAGCTGTGAACACAACACGCTCTTCAGATGTGCAAAATAGGATATTTGTTTAACAGATGAAACACAAGAAACACGGGGTGAGCTGGCAGTGGATCTCCATTTGTCTCTGACTGCTTTAACCGTGTTTAGTGATCTATTCAGAGCCTTCTGCTGTTTAATTGTAAACCTATCAGGCCTGATGATAGAAAAATAAATCTACCGGTCTGATCCATGCTGCCATTCAGGCTCCTCAGTTTATTTGAACCAAATAATAATAGTAACTTTTTCTTTACAGTTTTTTTAATGTAGTGTCAAAAACTTTCATTAGGGGTGGGTGTATTAAAAGAAATTAATTAAATAAAAACAAAGAAAAAATAAAGTGACATATCTTATTGTGGAAAATAAACAGCAGGGGCAGATTCTTATGAAAATAAAAAATAATAAAAATTAATAATTGAATAAATAAAAAAAATCGTCAGTGAAGTTTTAAAATTTGTTTATAATGTGAAGAACAAAAATAAAGCTTTGCATTTATTTTAAAAAACTGTTTTTTTTTTTTTTTTTAACATAAATACAATAAAAACCTCAAACATCAGTTGTGGTTTGGGAAGTTAATTGTTTATCCTTATATAAAAAAAAACAAAATTAAAATTACTGCTATTATGACTCATAATAATAACAATAATAATAGTAGTAATAATAATAATAATAATAATAATAACAAAACAAGTGTTTATTCTGAGGAACATTAGATTTTAAAAAAATGTATCTGAAAATTATGATTATTGTTCTTATTATAAAACATTATAATATATATGCAAGTGCACACACACTTTATCTTTATAATATGTATTTCTCTCTCTCTCTCTTTCTCTCTCTCTCTTTATATCTATATATATATATACACACACAATACACATGACTCTGATGACTCTGTTTAGTATGAAACTTATCATGACCAGGCAAAGCAAGAAACTAAATGTTAGTCAACAAGGCGGCACAAATTAGTCCAGAACAATAATTAGACTAATTATAGAATTAATAAATATAACTCTAAAATTTACTGAAATAAAATAACTGGCCTCAGTAACAAGTGTATGACAACAAAAATGCTTCTTTAGCCTCAACTCAGGATGCATTAGACTCATAAAAATAGAAAAATTAATTCCCTGCAAACATATTTACAGTCAGGTGAAACTCATATCTAAAGTGCTCCAGCAGACGGGCCTTAGAGGGATGAAGGGGAAAGGAAATATTCATGTGGCTGATGATTTTTCAGTGGTTACAAAGAGGAAAACATTATAAATAAAAATAATGACTCCTAAACCAAGACGGTATCCATGGCTGGTGTTTACATCAGAGATCCCAGAGATGAGAGATGTTTCAGAGGCTTCCATCATCCTCAGTCAGGGTATGAACGCTGAATGCAGAGGTGCACGCACTTCGGTGTCAGGTGGGTTTCAGGTTCTTGCTCGCCAAAATGTTTTTGGTGTTGACTTTCATCTTGGGGCCCCCCTGGGTCTACTTATCATGTACAAGGAGAATGATTGATGACCTCGGGTGATCATCAGATTTGAGAGACGATGCTGCAGCCAGCTCGTAACTCTCTGGCTGTGTAGAGATGAAATTAAACTAGAAACCAGGCGGAGGATTAATGCTGTATTACTTCTCCTGATCTACGGAGAGCCAGTGAGGGGCTGTAGAAACAGGTGCATGATTTGTTTGTCACCTTTAACAGTTTGTCTATGTAAATACCTGTCAGTTTGAAGAGCTGTGTCCTTTCCCCTCTTTTTTTGTACATGTCAAAGTTGGAACTATTTCACAATATATAACATTAAACCTGTGATGATTTTGCACCAGATAAAACATCCTTTTAAAATTCAATAAACTCATGTCATGGTTATATCTTTTACTGTAAGTTTTAATAACTGATATAGCCGCATGTTGAACTGAGTAACATCGCTGAATTTGAATAATTGACAAAACAAGGAAACACAGCGTGTAAATGGAGCAGAACTACAGAGCAAACAGAGATAAGAGGCGTTTACAACCAAGCAAATACATTACAGATGTTATCTGTGAGCCTCAGCTTCAGAGATGAATGTGCTGATTTGCTTTTATGGTTTATTTAAACTAACAGATACTGACAACAGTCAAAAGGCATTTCTCTGCACCTGCGTTCAGGCCGGAGTATTTTAAAATGACATTGCACCGACTCACACGTGTAGATTTAAGGTTTATGTGATCGAGCTAAAGCCTTAAAGTGACAGTGCTTAGAGCTTCTACCTCTACTGAGTTAAAAACGCTGGACATTACTCATAATAAGTAAGGCGGGCAGGTGGAAAGACTCCTTTGTCTGCCAGGTGGACGGTCAGACTGTCTGTAGACAGGCAGGTCTGACTCTCCTGGAATGC